TTCAAATAGTTACATGCTAAAACAAAAGTAGGCTCTATCATTCTATGCTAACCAAGATAGCCATAAATGACTGACTTCATCGTCGTCTTTCATCGATTCGCCGCTGCGCTAATCTTGATTCAGATCAGCCTAAACTCCAAGTCCACCCACTATTTTTTTTGCAATGCCACTCTTCTACTTGTCGTCTCTTTCACGAATTTCTTTTTCTTAATAAAATAAAACTTACGCCACGCTTTTGGTTTCTGTGTTGTTATGTTTTACTGTTGAAACACTCCTATTGATGCCATGCATTCGATCGAGCGAAGTGAGTTCGTCAAACTCACTCCAATCCAAGTGTGTTCCTCAGGAAGGAGCCGTGTGGCACACTACGGAAATGACACTAAGGGCGAAGTGCGCTCGCTTGTAGTGACACTAAACTATAGTCGGTTGCAAGCTAAGAAAAAACCGGAAATGCCTCTCAGAGGAAAATGTAATCCTACGCCGAGAAACGCCAGCCAATCGTTTTCATGACGTCACGATTCCGTGGACCAATCGCGATCCTTTTGAAGAAAAAAAAAAAGCTCAACATGGCTGCTGGCCTTAGCAACGCGACGCTAGTTTCTCGTGACAATTATTCTGCTTTTTTGCACCGTGTTTTACGTGCCCGAGGTTACGCCACGAAATCTTAATGGTATCGGCTTGCGTTTGCAGCAGTTTTTGCGCGACAACGTGAGAATCCAGCGACGCTATCGCCAACGAAAATTTCGAAGCGGGCGCGAGGCTTAGCACTGCTGAGAGGTATGTTAGACGGTATTTTAGACAGTATCTTGGACAGAAAATGAATTGGGAAGACGGTACATTGGACATGACTTTCTTTCTTTACTAAACAGCTATTTCGTTGACAAAAACGTATTCTAACTTATTTAAATGTCTTGAATGAATTAAATAAATATTGTAGTAGTTTAAGACACGTTTCCTGGAGGAAGAAAAAGCAACGTTGCTAGCGAACTGCTTTCTCGACGGCGGAGGCACTTCAGATGGGCGCAATGCGCTTGTGGGTGGAGCTAAAAGATTGTTCTTAGGTTGCATCCGACTATAGCCCGTGTGACAGGGGTATAATACTTAGTAAAGTATTCTACATTGTCGACGAAACGTCGCAGTTGCCTGTGTTCATAAAACAAGTTTCCATGAAACATCCCAGTGTCGACGAAACATATGTCTATGAAACATTGTCCATGATACATATTTCGACGAAACGATGGACCCCTGCAGAGCAGATGGGTTTTTGCATTGCAAGAGTATTTCAGGGCAGCATACTCGCTCGTGTAGATTCGTTATTGAAATAAATAGCGCGAAGGTCAAAAACAAACTGACGTTACAAGCGCTATTAGTTTCAATAATGCATATCCAACTAGCCCACCTTAATATTTTAGTGTAGATTCGGCTTCGCTCGTATAGGGGGTATTCACTGGACGCCATGTTTGTGGGTGCTGTTTAGAGCGCATGCTCAGAACGAGCTAACATCAATAGGCTGCTAAGACCGGCACTCTTGACGGTGCGGAATGCACGTTGCAAAAGAACTGTGGAAGCTCGCCTTCAGCATGCGCTCAGCATTCGCGCACACAGCTATGGCCGCCAATGAATACTCCCTATACTTATTGTGAAACAGAACTCGCTTTCTGCATATGCGCAGTGCCCCCCCCCCCCCTTTTTTTTATATGACAACGCGCGTGTTCATCAATATTGATTTGGTTTATAGTTTACACTGCGATTCAGTTCGGATTATAAACAAACCTACGCTACTGGACACCTATACCACAATCAACATAGAACCAACCCACGTGGACGCTCGCGTGTGCATACGACCGATCTCCCTAAGCGTTCCACGCATGCGTGATGCCGCCATAGCTGTAGTTCGTAGGAGGCCGCCAGTTCACGAGAGAGCTCATGCCGCCTCATGCTCTGCATGCTCGCGCAGACCTCCAGCAGGGTTGTCGCGCGTGCAGAAAGACTACAGCTCCCACGATGCATGGCGGCAGCGGTGGCGTACTCAAACTAGCTGTGAGATCGGTCTATTGTGACGGTGTAAAATCACGGGGTGAAAGGTCGCTGGCAACGCGCGCTTTGTGGCAAACCTTTAAAGAGTTTGACAGCCGCTCAGCGCGTGTATTTTTTCCAGCAATACAGAGTTAGAATACTTCCACTTGTTATATTGCAAGCAATGAGAAAACATATCTTGCATCACGCCTGAATGTAATAAAGTGCTATAAAAATGCAAACATTACGGCCTGAGAAGTACGGGTACAAGTTTTAACTTTCGGTGGTCTCAAGAGTGTAAAATGTAGCGCTTTCTGGTCTCTATTAGCGCGCTCGATATGCATATGTACACGTATAAAGCCAAAACTTTTGTCACACCACTAAAAAACTGTACGGCAAAAAACACCGCATCTGTAGAAAAAACTACCCCCCCCCCCCCAAAAAAAAAAGGAAAAAAAAAAACAATTTTTTTTTTTTTTTTTAAGTTTAGGGCAAAATGAACTCTGACACACGAAGCCCTAGTTATAGTGTCCCGTGTTTTCCCTTTATGCCGCTATATTCAAGTGCAATACTTGGCAACCCACAAACGAGATCAGCTGCTTTCTAAATCAAATTGCAAAAACATTATCCTGCATTACAGGTGAGCCTGACTCATGTTCACTGTTTCCCACCCGTTTGCTCCGCCTAGGCAATAACATCTGGTTAACAGAGTGCAGTACAGGTACACCCGCCCACGCTCGGGGTTTTTCAGCACAATGCCAGTTGTGTAAAACCAACTGTTTAACTTAAATCCGGGCGGGGTTTACACCACCAGTGGATTCGGTGAGTATTGAGTTTCTCACGTACATTTGAATCTGAGGTTAATCCTACTCAATTATCCGAGGTTTATGCTCATATAATTGAAAATTATCCGATAATTATCCGCGGAGTTACCGGAGGAATATACGGGAATTATGTTAAGTTAACGCAAAAGTATATCTAAATATCGCAAGATTATTCTCGACATCGAATGGCTTGCTAGGGTAGATAGCAGAAGATTATTCGCGTGTACGAGCGAACTGGGCCATCTTGTCAAAAGCGCATCCGTTAGCGGACAACTGGTAGGAGGTGGTGGTGGTGGTGGTGTTTGCCTGACGTGAGGTTTTTCTCACTGGCTGTGGAAAAGTTAACTGGTAGGAGGACAGGTCATCGCATTGTGCTGTTCGTCCAAGGCAAAATCGCAGAACAGAGAAAAGGGTGAAGGTGACAATTGGTCAAACTAGGTCGAACATTGTTTTAAAAAGTTATTGTTAGAGCTATCCCAAGGGGAAAGGAGAAATGGGGGGGGGGGTTAACCAAAGAACATTTACTTTGTATTAACCATAGTACCTTGCTGACCATCCCGACCAAAGACCAGATTAGTTTCAAACACGACAAATGACAAATTTAGCGCTTAAATGCATCCGCTATTAGTGCATCGTGAAAAGCAGAGTTTTTCTTGGGCAGAACAGCCGAATTCTGCGTGAAGAATTAGGGTCGTCGACACCTTGGAACTCGAAAGACTCAGAGAGGGGCTGATCTAATTCTGAACAGTCACATGTATACGCGTAGACGTTTTTGGCTCTTATGTGCTTTCTATGATATTGGACTGAGTATCAGAGAAAAACTTAGTTGAAATTATTTCCTGGTAGATGCTTCGAGTCAAGATGTCTCAAGGAGGTTATCTTGAAAGAGTAACATTTGTTGGTAATCGTTCACATCACATTTTCCCCACTTCTTTCACCTATATAAAACTTTGATATGAACATCGTGCTCGATTTTCTGCCTAAATAAAAGAACAGTTTATACTATATCATCGTATAACTGTGGTCTTTCGACTAATATTTGTGTATGTGAACGGGCAAAGTCGACAAATCATTCCTACTGATCAGTCTCGTGCGAATTGCCCTATGCGACGAATTGTCCCTCTGCCATCCGTCAACAAATGGGCTTTCGACAAATTATCTTAGACCTGGTTAAAGTCCCAGATAAAAAAAAGTAGGCGGTTACAAATTTCTGCAATGCGAAATTAGAGCCCAGCTCTTGAGGTATTTTGATTTTGCGATATACTGTGCTAAAGAATTTGAGAACGAAATATATATATCCTCTTTCTGCACCCTCCACCTCTTCCCTGTACTCCTCCTCCTGCGCACCCTCCCCCACCTTCTCCATACCCTTCCTTCCTCCTCCGTACCCTCCCCTCGCCCTCCTCCGCACACTACCCTCTCCCTCCTGCGTACCCTCCCGTTATCCTCCGGTTACGCCGACACCGACGGCGACGCCGACATCGCAAAACACGGGAACGGGAGCCTAAGAGCTTCTCTCTAAAAGACAGGGGCAGGAAAGAAAAACTCACCTGTCCCTGTATTTGTGTGCGAAACTTTAACCATGTTTAATCAGTACTTACTCGCCCAACTGACCGCTCTACTACAGTTATTATCCCAGACCCGTGCACGAGATGATTTTAACCTACAGCACTAACCAAAATAACACAATGGTATCAGCAGATACCCGAAGATCATCTCTGAATACCAGATTATTATTCGGGATAACCCGAGGATTTCTTCGCAGATGTCCATAATAAGACCTGCGGATGCGGGCCAAACTTTGCAGACAGCAGGTTTAATCCGGTTTGCTGAAGGCGTAGGTGCGACACAATGTTTCTTATTCTTTACCCATTTTAAATCGGGCGTTATCGCCTGATGGCAATATTGCCCGAACCTGCAACCTATACCAGCGTCTCGATTGCGTCATATTTAGAAAATGTTTACGTTCACTTCAATGACCCCCACCGTCGGACATTTTTCTATATTTATTTTCTTTTAGACTCAACGTTGGACAAGAATTGGATAATTCTTACTTAGCCGTGCGATGCAGCGTGCTAAGTAAGGTTATAGGTGTCAAGTAGAAACCGCGTCAAATTCGAGAAGTACGCGACGTTTCGAGCGCCACTGTATAACGTAAACATGCACGCTGCAACACCATTCTGTCGACGCCCATTACCCGCCCTCTTCGTCATCGGGAGCCTGGTTCTACTCGCAAGTTTCTGGTACCTCTGGGCGCCTGATGCGGAGTGCCAGTGCGCTGACGAGGAACGCCCGACCGAATCACCTCGGGTCATTGGCTCTACACAGGGCAGGTTGGTACAGCTACTGTAAAAGGGAGACTTCGAAGCGATCAGGAAAGACGCTCTGTTTGTCAAAACGCATTAATTTTATTATACACTACAATTCAACTTGTATAAATATTAAAATTAATTAAGCATGACCCAACCTAAAGTCACTGAATCCTGAGAAAGTAACGCCATTGCCTTCCCTGCCTGCTAGCCGTACACAGAGAGATACTGAAATGCAGACGACCGAAACCTCGCAATGTGATTGGCTGCTCGGTTTCTGTCGCAATCGCTATATTGGTCCTTTCAGATTTTCGAAGCTTCGAAAGTGCATGTCCTTCTCAACGGTCGCGTCAAGACCGCTATGGAGCTTCATTGTACAAAAGTAGTTCGTCGCCAATTTAAGAGTGATGTCACCAGCCAGTTTAGCTACGCCACCTGTGCCGCAATGCACCGAGGGAACTTTGGTGTTTCTGCGCGTGCGACGAACCTCGCAGGAGTTCAGCGCGTGCAGTGCCCGAGACAGCACGAACCGTCGTGTGCACTGCATATTGCCTTCTGTGAGCCAAATGAATGGCGGCGTCACGCGTTCGCCGAAAGCTTGTTTAGCTCGGTCTATCTGCTTATTTACCCGGATATCTTATAATGATATGGTTCTGCGTGTTTTAAGAGAGCGCTGAAAGCTTGTTGAGGTCGGTTCTGCGTATTTTAAGAGATTAAGTTTATTTTCAACGCCGCCAAACACCGACGCCGCATGATGGCGGAGCGAACCTGTGCGCTTGTTTCGCCTTTGTGTGGATAGCGAAATCTCGGCCCTTTTTGCTCTTTGCAAATATGAACCGCGGCCTGGCGTCCCAAGCGACCCCCGGTCGCTCTGCCGTTGCAAGCGAAAGCATAAATGCTACGCGGACAACGAAGTTGGAGATTTAATGAGGGCCTTCGGCTCTACGATTTAAAGGAGACAAGTTTGTTTACAAGAATATTTGAAATAGTTGAACAGATTCCGCGCTTCTTGGTTCTTTTGGCGTTCGCCTGGAGAAAAGTCTATACGAGATTTGTTTTTACAAAGCAACCCATCACCGAAAATTCGAATCGGCTCACCAATAATGAAGAGGCGGAGCCTTATTGAAAAATCTCATTTGTATGAGAAGTTTCTTTGTCCAAAAAACGCATATGAATCATACAAGATATATAGGAACACATAAGAAACTTGTGAGAATTTTCTTATAAGTGTGTTACATGTTCTTATATATCTTACATAGTTTATATGTTCTTATATATCTTGTGTGATTCATGTGTTTATTGTACACAAGACATTTCTCATACAAACGGCCTGGCTTTTTTTACTAGGAAGGGGCAGCTATGCGCTTCTTTCCGAGGATCCAGTTATTTTAGCCTAACTCACTCAGCTCCAACCCATTGTTAGGAAAAAATAGTCATCCATATTTTAATTTACCATATTTGCGTTACTCACGTTTAGACAGCTGGAGGTCCGTCTACCTCGAGATCGTTTCCATTGGCGACGACTTGTTCCGGTTTGTCCCTCTTATTGTTTTTCTTTGTCACGTCATGTCCAGGATTATTAATTGCTACCAACAATTTTATGGACGTGTGTAAAAGGCACGCTAAAAGCTGGGAGTCAACGCGTCATTGAACCAACACCGTCGAATTAGACAGTCCGACATTCCTCTTATCTCTAATAATTTACGTGGACTCTCATCCCGCTCAAGTGTTGACATTATTTGTGGTTTGACGTCTCTAAGAATTCTAAATTGTGTATTTTAGCTTCTCTTTTTTGGTTTTACGTCTCTATAATTTCAGATTGTGTCTTTCGACATTGCTTTTGGTGTTAAAGGTAACAGGAAACGACTTTTCTACTTTCGCTAAATATTACTTAGGGCCGGTTGCACCAACGTCGCTTAGCGCAAAGCGGAGCTTAGCCGGGAACTTAAGCTTAGTTTCGGTTTCGTTCGGTTGCACCAAACTCGCTTATCGCTAAACCTAGCACTAAACTACGCTTAACTTAAGCGCTCAACATTGGGCGCTTTGCTTCTGGTTGTTTCTTAATCCTGGATTAAAAACATGGCGGCTGGTTTGTCACGATCGACGCGGTGGACGAAATTGGTTGTGCAAAGTGTTTTAGGCTACATCAGCGTGAAAGTTTCGACAAAATGACTTTCGATTGTGACAAGGATGCAAAATATTGTCGCGTGAAGTGTTGATCGACCCCTGTTTTCAAGTTGGCTCTCCACTTTCAGGGCGTGTTAGCCCTAACCGAGAAACGTACGGAGCTGTGGGGCTCACGTCTGTATTCCCGTTGGTTCTTCTGTCAACGAGCTTATTCGTATGTACTTACTAATTTCCGCATAGCTGTAACGTATTGTTATTTACCACCTTGTTTATCTACACTTGTAGCGCTTATCCTTCAATCTGATCAGCGCGTTGAATAGTGGCAGTACATGATCTCGGCGATCAGCTGATTGTCGACACCTCTGCCGTTTGCATTAGATTGCGGCGCTTTTAAGTAATAAAACGGCGAAAATTCAATTTCTTTCGTTTTCTGAGTTTTGAGACAATCTTCAGTGAATTTTCCTTATCTCGCGAGTAGAATCTTGGCTTCAGAAAACCGTATCGTTCCATAACTGTAACTTTTTTGGTGATCGCATTTTTTTTATATACTTTGCTTTATATCCTTCATTCGTTTCCCGAGAACGAGATACTGTTGTTTCCGAGTTGTGCTCTGTGATGGTGTTTTCCCTTTACTTTCGTCGTTTGTTGTCATTGTGACGATGGTTGAGACTATATACCGGAACACGTTTTCAATAAAATTCAGTTGAAAGTTGCGCCTTGTTGTGTCCTCCGTAACTTTTTTGGTGATCGCGATTTTTTAGGAATATTTTGCTTTATATCTTTCATTCGTGGCGACGACAAATCGTAACGACTACTATGTTAGATTCGTGCTTTGCTGTATCGGGGCAGGCTGGGGCAGGTGATGCGAAGAGACGACCGTTCTTATCGGCACAATGTAATGTACTAGTGGGAGTTTTTTTTTTTTTTTTTTTTTTTTTTATCTGAACTCGACAGTGTGAAACTGAAGTCCGTTTGAGGCTGCAGCGGATGTTCAACGACGGTACAGTGCAGTTCTGTCACCTTGCTGATAGCAACGAGTACCGTCGATGCAAGGTCCCGTGACCTGACCTCTCGACGACTTCTATTCGACGATTTCCGGGCATTTTCGCAGCTGCCGTGGCGAGTTCGTCACTGTTTTGAACTTCATCGGTCTCAGGCTTGACTTGGTTTTAGTAGTCATCTTACCTGCCTACTTATATCCATGATGTTTTGTCTTCAGCGATGTAGCGAGTAGAGTGTCCTTCTCGCGTTCGGTGAGATTTGGGGCCCCCGATGGCTCCTCCTTCGCCTCAAAATGTGAGCACGAAAACTACTACCACAGTCAAAATATTCTGTTATCGACCGATATTAAACACACAATCACAGATGTAAAGAGCGTTTGTGTTTATTTGAAGCTTTGACTTCTGTTATTGAAAGTTAAACGAAAAAATGATTGAATTTGGAGACCTTTAATTTGTTACTCACCGAAGAAATACAGCGAAAAACAGACGCCGACGACAACTACTACAGCAGTTTTTTTTTTTTTTTTTTTTTTTTTTTTTTACATCACGTGATTTTTCTCCGCCAATCGTATTCGTCGCTCTGAGCGTTCCCTAGTTTGCTCTGTTTGTCCCTAGATTCCCTACGCAAATCCAGCGTTTAGCTAGGGGCGCGTCTGTAAACCGGAATTTAAACCCGTGCTTACCTAAGCTCGGTTTAGGGCGCTAAGCCGGCTTAGGAAAGTGCCGCTTTGGGTTAAGGTAAGCGGCGTTGGTGCAACCGGCCCTTAGAATCACTCCCTTACGTTAATGACTGAATAAACTCGCCTTAGTTTTTCTTTCTAGGCAATGGCAGTCGCGAAAGAAATTCGAGAAATATGAGCATCGTTCATCCCCTCAACTCGGAGTCAAAATAAGTGGACACATGACCTAGTGCCTTTGCCATGCGCTGGGTCTTGAAAAGTATAAAACGCCTGCTGAGCTCCAAGCGTTGTTAGAGTTCGGCTATTCTCATCACTGCTGTGGTTGGATGCAGCCATTACCCAAGTGTCCGTCGAGACATTGATTGTCATGAGCCGAAGTCGACTGCTCACGCAGGTCTCGTGTATAAACCATGAGCTGCGCTCGAGTGTCGTCAGGTGGGTGGTTTTGATCCCATAATTGCGTCATCAAGCTTTGCGGAGCCAAGTCTGAAAGAAAAAGTTTTCTTTTGTCCTCGCAATTTCACCGCGACAACGAAGCTTCTGAATCAGCGGCGGTCTGTGTGAATATACTTTCGTCAGACTAGGACCAGTACTCATCTGCAAAATCATGAACATTCCAACCTGATATCTTTTCATGACCCCTTTAAGTCTCTATCAATGTTAAATTGTGTCTTTTGGCAATGTTTGTGCTCTCGAGTTTTCATGAATTCTAAAAGTGTCATTTAGCTTTGCTGTGGGTTTTACCTGTCCTTGAATTTTAGATTGTGTATTTTAGCATTGATTTTGGTGGTAAGTTTCTACGAACGTTAAATATTGTCCTTTCGCAGTTCTCTCTGCGTTGTTCACAGTAATAATTTGTAATGTATTGAATGTAACGGTTAGCGTTTTATATTCTCCTAGAGAAACTTTTAAGTTATAGTTGCACAAAACTTATTTGTTCTGTTTTATTGATCCTCATCTTTTTCTGGCTGGTTTTGTTTTTTTGCAACTTTTTAAACTTTTTGGTGGATTTTTTTTATAAAAAAAATAATGTTATATGAGCACGTTGTAGTTTTCAGCAGTCATACAGTAATTTTTTTTTAGGATTGTGTAATGACGGTGTAAGACCGCTGGGTGTATTTTGCTTATATCGTTCGTTTTATATGCGCTTACTTTATGGACTGACTCTTCTCAAACACAATCACTTCTTGAGATAGCACTGTATTATCATGAAAAAAAATCGTCAATATACTTATCATTATTATTAGTATTATGGCCGATCGTGAAAGGTCAACCACAGCGATGCTTGTGGTCGCGCACGTCGACCATAGTGTCTCCGCCACAAATGATAATTTGGTCGGCGCAGTACGCGTGCGGCTGCAAAACCTAAAGCCGGCTTCACACATTTGCGTTTAACTGCGATTAAGTACTTCAGAACCGCATCTTTCGGCTGGCCCTGTAACGCTTCCCAGCTAGTATGTTTTCCAATTTTAACGCGACATTTGCGGTTCACCCTAGGCTTGAGATCATTCTGACAAAGCTATGAGGGATCATATCCCAAAGATAGTGAGTACACTTCATCTGCAAGAACCTCCAGGCGATAACAGCAACCTTACGCAGGTCCGAAGTGTTACGGAGTGACTCGATAGATGGCGCCGCTGAGCTCTCCCGTCGTAAGCAGTCACAAGCGGTTGCAACGCAGTCGGTAACACTCAAGCGTAAAAAGGCGTAAAACCATGGTTCAAGGCAAGATGAAGGTTCCTTAATATTTATTTATTTATTAACACGATATCACTCAAATACCCTATGCAGACATATCTTTAACACAGACTTTGATCCGCGATCAAATTTTAAATATTTCTTTCTCAAACGAAAGATATTGCAGATATATAAACCCAATTAAAGGCCATTCCTTACGACCGGTTCATAGAGTACTTTCCACTAAAACTTTCCTCCTAACTACATATATTGATTTCCAAGGATCCACTATACATCCTAAAGGAAATGGACTTTTCTCAAAATTGTGTTATTTATTACAAATAAATCATAGTTACAAAAACAAAATAAATGACACGGAATTTACCTTCAGTTCTAGATAACCACTTTTTTATTCATTGGAAAGCACAAATTTAGGATGCAGTTACGTTTTTGTAGAAAACAGCGATACCAAGTTCTCTGAAATCCAATAGGAATGAGATTATCAGAACCTCCATGAGGCAATGGCAATTAACAAAAAAGCCAAAACTTAAAACATCGAACTCAGAGATTCTCCTATAGTATAAATTCAACGGTTAAGACTTAAAACGTGCTGTTTTTATAATAACTAAAGATTCGATTGAGCACCGATATTCTTTGAGCAGAAAAGCTTGGCTGTGAAGATGTCGAAGTTTTGACGTTTAAAAATATTACAATTTTGCATCTTTTTTTATGTTTAAAGACTCTAATCCAGGGGTGGCCAGGCTGACCCGGCCTAAGAGCCGCAAACAAAACCACGAAACTTCCGAGAGCCGCGGCAGGAAGGGGGGAAGGGGGGGACTTTCGTTTACAGAAATAAATTAATTTGAACTTTTTTCAATCTATCCGAGTCAAAAGCAGTCCAACTGTAGGTAAGGTAGCAGTGGCACAAGACTACCATACCGCAACTTCCCTTTCAATTTAAAACGCGTTCCATTTCGCTTTGGGGAAGTGCTGGGAGGGAAGGGTGCCGCGATCCGCACTTTAAGACGCGAAGAGCCGCATGCGGTTCGCGAGCCGCAGCTTGGCCACCCCTGCTCTAATCCTTGCTTAAGGCAATAACGTTTATTAGGAAGCAGTGATGACACGGTCGCGTACAGGTACAAGGTTCATCCGATTCGAACCGCGAAGACACACGAGTTAAACACATTGATTGACCGCGTACAGAAAGTTGGTGGAGCGCTACTGTAAGCAAAGGGAACAAACACACTTTGGAATTCACGCAGGGAACTTGTGACGTTGGTAGTGGTCACGTGCGCGGGCAGCCTGGAGCTGACCATGGCCAATCTCAAGTCAGCCGTCGCCTTCTCAAGAGCTCCCCTAAGGCTGATTCTGTACGCCGATGAGGAGAACATCAAGCTTCTTCAAGACAGGGTAATTCACAGCGCCTAAGCGTGGTCCTAGTCATCTTAGAAAGAACAACACATCTTCGCTGCTGCAAGTCACCCAGAAAGTCATTCAAGATTGGCTAGGAGGTTAACCAGTGACCGTGCATAAAACTTCAAACTTGTCCTTATCACTTTATAAAAAAAATGCTATGGGAGCTACGAACCTGCCGTGTATGCTTTTTACGTGCGTAATGATTTGTCTTCATGTTACGCAATGCTTTAGATGTTTTAGAATGTGGTTCCGCACACGACACACCCACATAAGTACTCTCCTGGTTTATGCGTATGGTCAGGACAAGTCTAAACTTATTCAGCAGTAGTGTGTGTCACCTGCCCGAATTTTTCACGGGTTCTGTTGTTTTTTTTTTCGTGGGTGCTTGTAGGGTCTTTGATTTTTAGTGACATTTTATTGCGAGCAACTTCTTTTGGTAACTAAAGTAACTGCGAGGAGAGGAGGTTTATCGCGCCCTGCTCGCTATCAACTGACTGCTGTTTGAAGTTGTGACGATATACGCCCGCTGCTCTATATTTTGGTACCTTATTGATCCAACCTATGATGTTGTGAGCCGATGCTTCGTCGTTGGGGAGCCTGCTGTGCGCGCCGACGCTCGTCTCCTGACCAACTATACTGAACTCGCTACGACTCGCCGCTCACGGTAGCTTCCACGGCCCCTCGTCGTATAGTTGATACACCACGCATCCTATTCACTTCTTGATTTTGAAGTAGATGGTCTCAGGATATGAAAACAAATCCTTCACCTCGTAAAATAAATGTTGAATTCAACACAACTGCATTTCGCTAAATTTAGAAAGAAATCACAAAAAAAAAACGAATATGTTCTTTTACATGCCTGCGTGGACTCTGCGTATACTGTAATCTTTCGTTATTCTGGTCACCCAGATCATACAGTGGCCAGCCAGTGTCTTGGCCAGGATCACCTATGACCTGCGCTTGGTCATGTTCCCCAGAAAAGACTACGACAAATGGAACAAACTCTTCAAGCCCTGTGCAACACAGCGACTTTTTCTCCCGGTGGGTACTTGGATTGAGTTACAACACGGTCTCAGAATGAGGTTTCGGTGTAATGTACCGCCGAAAACGAGCTAGCTTTGAAGAACTACTCCCTCGAGGACACATTTTCTTTTTCCGCAGTAGCAGAGCTTAAAGTGACCGTGCAACGATCTTGGGCTGGAATATTTCTAACTTTAAACAAGCTTATTGGTACTGCATAACCCAAGTACAATCGCACTTAACGCTGACCAAAAAGTGCGTCTTTTTTGCTGTGTATTACCAAGTGTAAAAGTGCTTTTCTTTTCAGCCTTTTCTTTGCTAAAGTTTATGACGTATCAATAGGCATCGGACTCTTGCCTTAAACACGGAGATTCCCATACGTATGTATCCTTTATATCAGACACGAAACGGGTTTAAGGGCTGGTGCAAAAGAAGACAAGTTGTCTTCTGAAGAGGCTTCAGTTCCTCCTTACAACACTTGGAGGAGAAACGGGAATATATAACAAAATAATTATGCAGAAAATAAAGGAATTTCAAAATCTATATACACGATAACCGCTAACTATCAACTAACTAACTATCAACTGAAGAGGCTTAAATACTCTTTAATTATGTTTTTGTAACAAAACACGAAATGTCTGTTAGGGCCATTTCTGCTGTAGTTGATTGTGTGCTCAGTAGATCTGGCACTAGGTATGTCAGGTGCTGTGTACAGTAGTTAGGTTGAACCTAGGTTTCGCATATTGTGCGCTTCTGAATCTGTAACTTTCTGAGGTTTTATAATAAATATGAAAAAAAAATATTTTTTTAATAATTTAGTTAAAAATAAAAATCGATACATTAAGGAGCAGGATTTCTTTCAATATTCAGTTTTTTCTATACTTCCGAAAGATCGGGAATGATTGGTCGTACCTTTTATCGTTCTCAATAAATCGAACGGTTTTGTTTCGCAAAATAAATATTTTGTGTTTTGTTCTTTGCGTTGTAGCTCCCATACTAGTATACAGTACTGTAGGCGTGAGTAGATAAGTGAATAATATAATTGCAGTTTCAATCTTTTTGGTAGTAATTGCCTGAGTTCGTTTGATGTTCCTATGGCTCTTGAAATGTCAACCCCAATTTTTTAATGTGTGCAGTCCAACAGAGCGTTTCTTGAAACCACACGCCAAGAAATGTTTGTTTTTTACAACCTCGATTGTTTTCCCCTCAAAAAAAAAAAAAAAGTTTAAAGATTGCGGAGTGGGTTTACTTTTTTTTATCTGAACAATACATAGGTTGTTTTACTAGTGTCAAGATTAAGCTGGTTACATTTTAGCCACAATGATAGTTTTCTGAGCTTTATTTGGGAATTCCTCGAGCGGATCCAGATTTCCTCTTGAAAAAAAAGAAAGAAATTGGTATCATCATCATATTAAATAGTATCACGTGATTTGGGTATATAAAGAACAACGTTATATAAATTAAGAATAATAGTGGTCCCAGCATGGAAACTTGCGGGACGCCGTATATTATTGGTGCGAGTTGAGATTTAAACCCATTAAATACCGTCTATTCAAAACGCGAATATAAATAGCGGTGAATTAATTCTAGTGCATTACTTCTAATTCCGTACGTCGATAGTTTCCTCAATAAACGTTCATGTCTTATTGAATCCAACGCCTTTCTGAAATCTAGAAATCCTTCAATGATATATGCATGGTTTTCTATATTAATAATGATTTTATCTTCGATATCAATTAGGGCTGATTGAGTTGATTTCTTCTTTTGAAAACTGAACTGTTTTTATATATGATATTTTTAACCGTGAAAGCATGTAAAACCTTTAATTAATTATTCTTTTACAACTTGGAAAAAACGTTACCGTACAGATGTGGGCCTGTAATTATTAAGGTCCTCATGTGTGACTCCCTTGTAAATGCCACTGGCCTTAGCAATTTTTTTCTGTAAATATACCAGAAACCAATATTTTATTACAAAAGTAACCAAGAGGAGGCAATACTAGCTTTATTACTGGTTTAATAAGGATAACTTAATATCATCAACACCCACCACATGCGCAGTCATTTTTAGGGGCATTAGTATTTTGCGAACTTCTATTTCATTGTTGGTTCTCAAAATATTTAGCTTAATATCGGAACAGGTAAGTAATCGGTTTTACACACGGACGACAATTCAGAGGCACCGGATAGCAAAATGTGTGTATTAATCTTGTTTGCCAAGGAGACTTTCATATATACAGTACCATCAATTTTAAGCTCTTCTGGAATTTCTCTAGGCGCTTGTACGTACTTAGCAGGGAAGGGTGGTTAACTTTCTGCCACGGCTAAAGTTAATTTAGCTTCGAGCAAAATAGCAGCGCAGAAGACCACTCCTGTTTGCGAGCTGAGGGTGTGAACGCTGGACGGTTTTCTCCCATTTGTTTTTGCACTACTCCATTTACGCGAGGAGCGAGCGCATGTTTCGCAGGTTATTAACGTCAACAGCTTATTCTACGCAACATTTAGGGAAACTACAAATGTTATTGAACCATGCTTTTAAATTGCGTCAATGATAAGACATCATCATCATCACAGCTTTTGTTTCCTGTCACTATCGGTGATGGTGACCTACCGAATGCGTATCTACATTCTTGATTTTTTTTCGAGAACGTGCATTGTGCAAATCGCCTTGTAAAACTTTAGTTTTTAGGATCCTCTTCAAGGCTCGCAATCATAACATCTGAGCACCATTACTTCATGTTAAACGTTGCGACTATATTTCCTTCTCACCACAATTACCAGACAAATAGTTACAGGTGATTAAAAGACAGTTAATATACTTATCAAGATTTCGAATTCCGTCGGGTTCATTACAACTTGAAACTATTCATAAGCGGAGAGACGTACTCACACAACTCAGTGGTGTACTTTTCGATGTCAAGTTCTGCACGGCATTCTTTGCAGGACATGCTTCCGATGGAGGATGCGGTCTTGTACGTAGACGCTGACGCCCTCTTCCTGAACCCTGTCGAGAATATCTGGGAAGTCTTTGAGAAGATGAACGACAGTCACCTAATGGCCCTAGTTCACGAGATTGAAGACGAAGCCAACAACTGGTACAAGCTGGAAGCAAAGCACCCTTTCGTCCCTCCTTTTGGTACGTACCTATACAGACTCCCTCTTTCTTTACACACGCTTTTCAGCTGTTTTGAACTTTTTTTTATTCAAAAGAGGAAAATATTGATATTGCTTTCAAAGCAGACAAAGCAAAAGCTGCCGGTGCAGCCCAGGTAGCATATGACGAGGTGCCCAAGTCGTGCTCACTTCTGCAATGTGGGATAGGTCGGCCCCTATGAAGCCCAGGTTGGCGTGGGCATGCCCAATTTCGGTGACCTGTGCAATGCTCCGGTATGTTACACCTCGGCTATCCTAAAGAAATCTTGAAGTAGGTGTGAGCAAAGCGTGGGCATGCCAAACTTGGGGGACCCGTGCAATGTTGTTGTATACGTTCGAGTGGGGTGTTATCGTTTGGGCCTGTTTTCTTTTCGACCTTCTATTTTGGTACTTCTTAAAAGAACCATTCACAAAACGTGCATCTCGGTTGGATCCGCCGCGTTTTGCGTTCTTGTTCCGTAATTCGCATTTCTTCCTCTAAAAAGCAGAAAAAAAAATAAATGGAGGGCTTTAGGAGCCAGTGTTGTGGCTTGGTCACCGCATATCCCTGAGAAAGATTAATCAAATCACCCCCGCCACTGGTCACGGGCGCTGGACAATCAAACACGAAGTGATCCTTTGTGTAGAAACACTGCTCCAAACGTCCCCCTTTGTCTCGGTTCAGTTTATGGTAGTTTGTCTTCCCTATATATTATGTTTCTTTTTATAATAACTGCAGCGGCCGTCGAAGCCAATCGAAGGCTGAAAGAGTGTCTTGTGATTTCAAGCACCGGGCTTCACTGCGCTCAACAGGAGTATCACGTATGTTCTCAGTCGTAAACTTGCTCTGATGGCTCGTAGGTTGCGCAGCGTTCGTGGTGCGAACGGGACCAAGTGCGAACGGACCAACAACGAATAGAATTAGATGCGAATACTCCGAAATACGAAAAAAAAAATTAGATGTTTTGTGAAGGTTCGAACGAGAAGGTTCAATGAGAATGCGGCGAAATGAGTAAAAAAAATATACGAATGGGGTATTTTGAAATATACCCATTCGAGCTGCCCCGGCTGTCCTAGAGAAACGTTAGCGAAGGTGTGAGTAAAGTGTGGACATACCCAAACTTGTCTGTCCCTGCAACGCTCCGATTAGCTCTATTTCGACTATGTGAGGGCAAAGTTGGTGCACGTATGGGCAAAGCGTAGGCAGCTCGGCTGTCCGTGCCATGCTCCGGTGGGTTCACCTCGGTTATGTTAGAGTGAAGTTGGTGTAGGTATGGGTAAAGCGTGAAAATACCCAACTTGTCTGTCTGTGCAATTCTACGGTTAGCTCCACCTCGGCTATGTGACGGCAAAGCTAGTGTACATATTGGCAAAGCGGGGGCATACCCGACTTGGTACGACGTCGCGATTAGTGGGGCGCACCCTCCGAACGTCCCTGCCCCGAAACCCAGCATGACGACCACTGTCAAGTTTACACGGATGCAACGATCTTCCCAGACGGTGGCCGAGTCTCATTACTCAACTCCACACATACTTGCACCCAGGGGCATCAGCGATATACATCTCAGGAAGCCGACGCTCTTGTCGTGGAACTGCAGGCCATCAACGAGGCTATACAAGCAGTGACCACCAAGCTGCCGACGATCCGCCATATTCACATTTTTACAAACACCTTAGCGGCAATTAAAGGGCTCAAAAAGGTTTTCAAAGCAATGTAACTGTGTGAAACGATACACACCCTTCACCGCAATACCTCGACCTGAATTAAGGTGTACTGAATTCAAGGTCATGCCACGTACCAATACAACCTTGCAGAGGATCAACAAGCACACTTTCCATCTGATCTCGATCTCCCTTCCTTCCACCTCCTGTTTGAACCCCTTTCCCTCCTCCACGCCCGTAAACACTCTCCGGCAGGACACGCGCGCTCTTATCCCTCCGTGTGTCTGCTCCCTCCTCCGCCATCTCACCAGGATGGAGGAGGTTGTGCTTCGGAGACTGCGGGCTGGGGTGGCCCTTACACCGGCTGTAACCTGCACACGGTACACGACGGGCGACATGCCCCAAGTGTCCCCAAGACGCGACGGAAGCGGATGTGCGTCACCTTATATGGACTCGTTCTGGCCTACAAACTGAGCGCACTCGCCTACATATAGCTGCAGGTCTCCAACACAGTGCACCCACCAGCTACCATAAGTGGCTGCATGACGACCATTATCACGAACATTGCTTCAATTCACTCACACAACAGGTCTTGTAGCATACATATACGACATTTATAACTAAAAACAACCCCCCAGGTAAGAAAAAATCTAACATGGCTGTTTTTGCAATGCTTCGGTGGATTCAACTCGGTTATGTTAAAGTTGGTGTAGAAGGGGGCAAAGCGTGTGCACGCCCAACTTTGCTATCCGTGCAATACTCTTAATGGATTCAACCTGGCTATGTGAGCGGAACGTTAGCGTAGATACGGGCGAAACGGGGGTATTCCCAACTTGACTGCCCGTGTCATTTCTCGATAGGTTTCGCCTCGGCTATACGAGTGCAAATTTAGCGTAGATGTGAACAAAGCGTGGGCGTGCCCAATTGCTTGTCCGTGCAATACTCCAGTTCATTCTACCTCGTCTATGTAAGGGCACATCTAGCGTACATCTGGGCAAAGCGTGGGCATGCCGAACTTGGCTGTCTGCGTAATACCCCAGAAGGTTCCCTTCCGTTATTTGAGGGCAAAGTTAGCATTCATGGGGGCAAAGCGTGAGAATACACATTTTGGCTGTCCGTGCAATACACCGGTAGGTTCACCGTTGCTACGTAAAGACAAAGTCAGCGTAAGTACACGTGGGCAAATCGTGGGCATGCCCAACCTAAAGTCACTGGATTCGAAAAAAGTAGCGCCATTACCTTTCATGCCTGCTAGCTGGGCCCAAACAAATACCAGCATACAGACGACCAAAATGTTATGTTTAAAGGGGCCATGAAACGAATTTTGGGCTGGGATGAATGATTTTAAGATGGTACTTTACTAATCGAATATCGTTTATTTGGCCAAAACAAAGAGGGTAGAAAGTCAAAAGCCAGCTTTTCGGTACGAACATTTGAAAATATAGTGGACTATTTTGTACCTTCTTGCCTTCGAAAGCTCTTCGCCTTTTCACTGTGACACATCCGCGGTTCCAAAAGCGCGTCATCGGTGCCAACCTGACATCAACCGAGCCTAGCTCACGCATTGGACATGAGAACTGCGTCACTCAGACGTATGCGCTCGTGAACAATCAATCCGTCGACGAATATTTGGATTCCCGTTCGTGGCCAATGAGTGCCCTGGCGGAACTTATCGTCACCTGCGAATTACAAGTTCTATGGTGTGCATAAAAAGCACGGTGGAAGCTAGGAATCATCGCACCGGTGCCGAAGAATGTCACGACGACGTGATTTCACAATTCGCATTTGAGTTGAGGATTGAAGCTAAGGAGGAAGAAGTAGGAAAATCGTTTCATGACCCCTTTAAGAAGGAATGCCCCTGGTCCGCGCATAACGCCGCCTTGTCTTATACTTGATCTAGAATCTATGCTGAGCGAGGCTATGGCTGAGCTGACTACCGATGACGAAGGGTGGCCGGTAAGGCGCAACGCACCCAGTTGTCAAGCGTGGTTCCAGGCCGTGGAACGGCCCAGTGTGGAGGCATCTAGTCGAGGTGGCGGTTCAGGCAAAATCCCTCGCGCTCCCCGAGCGCCTGCCCCTTTTACTAATCCTTCAACAATGTAGATGCGGTACAACCAATTACGACATCCTGGCTGTCGTCGTGCAGATCAACGGTGCATTCGGCACCTGGCAAAGAGCGAAGCGTGCCGACGGCACGTGGCAAAGAGCGATGCAGTTCATCTGTCAGCGTTGCATTCCAAGACAACCATTGCCCTTAGCTATCCAGGGGTGCTATTCTGGTCGCAAACGGGTACCTTTCGAGTTGTGACGCATCGAGAAAGAAGGGGCGGAGCCTCAAACTAGAATGATTCTTGTTTGAGGCTCCGCCCCAACGTTCGGGCTCACGCACGCGGTCAGCTAGAATCTGACGATGCCGTACGTCGCGGTGACGTGTCCACCCAGTTGGGGCGAAGAAATCCCTGCCTTTCCCCCTGTTCTTTTTGATATCTTCTTCTTTTCCTCCGGGACTTAGAACGAGCGAATAACGGAGAAAAGGCTACCTTCCGGAAAATGGAAGGAAACAGAGAAAAATAATATTATCCTTTTATAAAATACGAATGATTATTTTAATAATTTTGACGTAAAGTAAATTTAGCTAAGATATCTCAGCTTTTTTTTCTCGAAGTCTTTCGCTACGGTCTTTGAAAACAAACATGGCGAAAACCGCGGTAACGACCTTGTGGTGTTTGTGTCTCGCTTGCGTGGTTGCTTTCCCTGTTTCTGCACGATACGGATGGCATTACGATAAGAAAATATTATGTGAAGGTACGCTGCGACACCGTTATCCTTTGTGAAGCCGTCGAGAACATAAGCTGCAAATGAAATTTCTTGTTCGCTTGTGAGGGAGACTCCAAATGGATACAGAGCTGACGACGACTCTGTGGTAGTATATGACAAGTCATGAGATCGACGCAGAGTGCAACGGTTGTGAGCATTCTCTGGATGATGCAGGAAAGTTTCTTCGGGCAGTTTTAATAATGCTTTGCTCCTTTGCTCACTGCAGTGATTATGCCGGTATAGTCTCCATAAGCCATGCTCTTCTCTTTCGGCGCTGAAGAAATGCACGCGACGGCATAATCTCGGGCAGTCTTTTTTACTTATTTTCATTTGCAGAAGAACTCGTGCAAAAAAAAAAAACGGCTTTTACGTTTTTACACGTCCCTACATAGGTACCTATAGAAGGCACCCTAGGTACCTCGCTTTCCCATTGGCTTCATTGCGCGTGACGATTCAACGTCATTTGCCATGGAAACGTTCGTGAAACCAGAAAGCCTCTGTTTGCCGCTAACAGTCATTTTTCGAGTTCGGGTTGTGACGACAAAATGACGTAAGAACAAGAATGCACGGGACTATTTGCATTGTTTTAACTCGACAACCGTACCCTTGGCGAGTTAAACTCGAAAGAACATGGCCGCGATCGGTCACTTGATCAACGCGCACACGAATACTTTCGTGCTGTTGGATGAGCCCATTCGGCGACAGGACCGGGTCGAAGAGCACAGTGAGCTGGCGTTTAACGTCTCCGATGTAACGCTTGAAGAGATACAAGACTTGGCTTCTATTTGTGCCGGTGTTATGAAGCTTGAAAGTGGTGGTGTTGTTGTGACAGTTGCTGAGATTATGAAGACGGTAATAGACCTTTATTCAGCGTTGCCGTGCATTAAAATTCAAAACCTCACCTTGGCACAAAGGGAACGACGTTTCCGCGAGCACGTAGGCAGCAGCCAACGGTCTGAGAAAGAATTGTGCCGCCGCCACGACCGCCAGCGATCGCCCCAACGGCAAGAAAACAAACGACAAGCTCATTGTGGTTTGTGTAGTGCTGACTACTGATTCATCGGACGACAAAGGTGAATGATGTAAAACGCAACGTAAGTTTGTCAGCGTTTTGCAAAACGAATTCGTTTCGTTGAAAATTTAATTTGTGGAATTCGTTAACGCCTTGAAAGTTTGACGGGGACCGCATTGTGAACGCAGGCTTCACACAAGTGTTTTCTACAGTGTGTGCTTTGGCTGCATGCATATAAAGACAAAAACACTGCCTATATGGTGCATAAAATAAAAGAAATTTCGTTTATCCTGATAATGTTGACTATCTATTGAGTGCTGTTGATAGTAGGGGGTGAGGATGGAGAAGGGTTGAGGTGGCTGGAATGTTCATGACTTGGGGTGCGAGGGGGATGGTTTCGGAATTTGTGTGTATATTCTAGGGCCCGCCGATTTGGGGAGGGAAGGAGCGAAGCCCTATAAACCCCCCCCTCGCCCCCCCCCCCCCCCCCCCCATCACCGGCTTTGCCACATAAGGGGAGCATCCTACATTCACAGGCTGCTATAAGCATGTGCATAGCCACTGAGCTCGTACCACAATGGCAAGATAGTTGCTGACATTCTTCACGTTACGTAGCAGTTCTTTCTTTTTTGTACATATGCTCGCTTTTCCTTCACACATCTACTCTGCCTCCGCTTGTCGTTTATGCTTGATGGTGATAGGCCAACAGTGCGTATTTGCTCTGCATCACAGGCAAATTTCAAAAATCCAGCTCACACTACTTTTTAATTTCAATGAGTTACTGTCACTTTTGAAACGACAATCTATTGAATTGCTATCATAACACGTATGTTGACTGTAGGACAATTCTATTTTTATTGCTTTTCTTGGTCACGAAGATGACAACCATTCACAAGACACTGGCTAAATTTCTCGTCTACAGTGGGTAACAATGCTACCATACTCTGTCAGACTAAACTGCTGCTGTATAGACAAGTAACGATTAATTTTAGGACAGACCTGTTCATAGTTTATTGCAGGACATTGAAAAGTGTTCTTATTACTTTCCGATGACTGACTTGCAATTCCAGCAGCTTGGCGTGAAAAGGTAAAACATCTAATTGATACAACGAAATGCCATCAGCAACCCATCCAGATTTTATTGCGTAATTGACAGTAGCTACAGACCGCAACAAATTGTCAACTAAAGACATAGGTACTAAGCGTGCACTAACTTCGAAGCGGTAGAAACCCTGAAGTTTAAACGTCAACTTACCACCATGTTGTTAATGGCAAAATGGTGATTGCGGCAAAGAGTTGGAGTCCTTCAGAATGGTGACGGTCTCCTTCAGACCGATGATGACGGTGACAAAGGTTTAGTTAGAGTCTAAGTTTAGTCAACGCACCCGACGACGTCGGTGTGCTTGTCATGGTGGCGACGAAAGCCTTCTTTCGCACATGCCTCAGCTGCCTCGGTCCGGGGTTTTGTCGACCCAACCGTCTCTTCCCAGCCGGTTGACAGCGACACTCACGACGGCCGTCAAGGCTCTGATCACCATCCACTGGGCATTAGCTATGTGATCATCGGGGGCAACCGCGCCCTTGTAGTTCACCGTCGCGAAAAATCTCAGTGCGATTCAATTAGTAGCTGCTGCTCGACGGTCACCATCTCTCATCGTCGCCGTCTCTCGTTGTCACACTGCGATCACACGGTGCTTTTCGACAAGCGGTATTGTCGTCAGAAACAGTCGTCGTGCATCGCGAAGGCAACCGGGTGCTCGCGGAAGACCCCTCATTATACGTGTTGGTCGAGCCATCGTTGAGCAAGAAGCATCGCCGCCATTTTCTACCCTCTAGAATCCTGCCCAAAGCTTTTTCCCCTTCGTGCAATAGAAAGAGAGGTTAAAAGCACGAGCGCATCACCCCGAACGATCTTGCACGAATGTTGGCTTGCACTGCGCAAGCGCGCCTGCTCGACAGGGACGTTGAAAGCCCGGAGCACGTTCTTGTAGCTCCTACACCCGCACTAGCTCGCACTCATAGTGAAACAGAGTGTAGGGTGTGTCGAGTAATACCGCAGTTAATCTAGTGACGCGACTTCCGCTATGTGCTACGTAGGTCGGACGTGGTCATACGTCACTTTGTCGTCACGGTCCGAACTCGAAGAGAGACATTTACGGCAAACGGTTGCTTTCGTGTTTCGCGAACGTTCCCATGGGAACCGCGTGGAATTATCACGCGGGCTGTGGCCAATAGGAGCGCGCGGTTCGTAGGGGGGAGGAGTTTTCGAGAAACACGAACGTGACCGTTTGTGACCAGAATACCACCCCTGGATGGAGCTAGCTTACACCATTACATTTCTCCTTCCCATAAAATGAGAACACAAACGGACGTGCAACAATGCTCGCTCGGACAACTGAAGCTTCTGATCATTTCCTGATCAGATTATCTGATCGCTGCTTCCAGCGCTCATGCGGTGCTAACTTAGCGCTAAGCTTTTGCGTGTGAACCGGCCTTCATGCTCTGCTCGTCTCTCGCTTTTTACGTGACGAATTCCGTACTTTTCGCGGAGTTCCGAACCTCCCTCCTCTTTACCAAAGGAAATACCGCTGGCGTGAAAGCATGGCGAGCTGAACCGTGGAACATTTACGGCGACAAATGTTTTTTGGCCAGATTTCGCAACACATCCCAGGGTGTGTTTCGCGTAGGGTCGTTGCCCTCTACATTTAACAAGAAACCAGTGTCACGTGATACTGTGTCGTCAGAATGTTCACTGTATTTAGTGGGAAAATTGCAACATCCCGTTTTCTACTAAATATAACGGTAGATTGAGAGGTCAAGTATAAGTGAAACAAGTGGCTTCATCGCAGAGCGATATGACTTCCCATATTATGACGCCCAGCGAAAGTTTTCCCCGCTGGAAGATCGTGACGTCACTTGCAACTGTGACGTCACATGACGTTAGTTGAATACGGGACGTCATAGTCACGCGACGTCATTATGTCACGTGACAATGCGATTTCCCGCTAAATTTAGTGCGAAAACTGTGACCTTCCGGGACAATGTAATGTTTACACGTTTGCCAAATTTGAACAGTGGCGTAGCTGATTGTAGGCTATGTACGTCACGGTGCACAGCACCACTGCTCTCGCCGCAGTTTATTGAAAGAATGCGGCAAATAACCTGGATATTTTTTTTCCTGCCTCAGGAGTGAACGCTGGCGTAATGGCCATGAACCTCACGCGCATGCGCAACTTCCACTGGGTGTCGCGCATGGGGCCGCTACTAGGGGAGTACGAGGACCGGATCTTCCTGGGCGACCAGGACCTAGTGAACATCATGTTCAGCGCCCACCCAGACAAGTTGTTCCTGATGACGTGCCGGTGGAACTACCGCCAGGAGAACTGCGTCTTCCACTCGTCGTGCTCGGGCGAAACACCCGCACTGGTGCACGGAAGCCGGAATTGCTTCACGGACCCCGACAGGGAGCCCTCCATCTATGCCGTCTACTCCGTCATGCAGAAGGTACTCGACTAGTCGTACTGTCTTTACATTGGAATAATAATGCCATTCAAACACCGCCCAGAATGATTACGTTAATAACCTGTGAAACGCGTATTATATTTTTTTTTTCAAGCCAAGCAATAGTAATTGTGGAAACACATAAAAACAAAAAACGAGCAGCGTTCGCTTCTTTAACTTGCAGTCAGAGCAAGTGGCCACATGTTTTCATTTTTGTCATAGTCATGCTCTCGCGTTGCCAAAGCACATGAAACAGGTTAATTTACACAGATCGTTAAAGGGATACTCCGGCATTACCTTTATGATGCCCGATTTACCTGAAAAATTGCTAAAGACACCACCAAACGCCGAAAAAATAGTATCCAAATATTAGGTCAAACTAATTGTTTTGCGAAGTTTTTGAAATTACAATTTCAGTCCTCACCGCGCTTTCAAAACTGAAGGTCTCTACTGGCAACGATGAAAAAATCACGCCAGCGGCAGGCAAAAGTTCACTCTTGAGTGTTTAGGATTTGTTTCCAACAGATTACCAGCAGTTTTGTAGTGTCAAATGGATGCTTAGGAAGCTCGCTTCGGCACCCATGCAGCAGCACGAAAGAAATGCTCGGCATACTCTTTGTTTTTGCTTTTATTTACTGTCCGCTCGACTGGCAAGTCTACCTGTCACTGACGTCACGGCACTGAAAAGCGCGGTTATATTTGAATGTTGGTTTTGGACATCATTTTCATTTTCCGATAGCCCGATAACTATTCAGTTTTTATCATAGCCACGCTTTGAATTTCGCAGTACTAAATAACACACCGCAGGGGGTAGAGGACAGGGATTCGGATGCTTTAGCATGACCCTCGAAAAACGCCGTACACGTTTCCCTTAGGGAAACGTTAACACTGACCCCGTAACAAGGCCAAAAAGAGGCAGTAAAAATAAAGGGAGCAAAAGACAAAGTCCAAGGAAAAAGCCAAAAGATGAAAGTGAAGGGGTCAGCGTAAAGGCTCGTTCAGACTCTTGCGACCGAATAAGACCGAGAGAGACCAGACCGGTTTTTAAGCCTCTTGCGATCTCTTAGGACCAGCTCCGCTGCAGGGCATCCGGTCCTAAGAGATCGCAAGAGGCTTAAAAACCGGTCTGGTCTCTCTCGGTCTTACTCGGTCGCAAGAGTGGGAACGGCGCTTTAGCGTCACCCCAAGGAAGACGTGTGTGGCTTTTCCAAAAGTCATGCTGACGCATTCCCTAAGAATCCGCCAATGGATCTTCCTGTAATTTATTTTCTTCTTAATATACAATGTAAAATATTATGACTGTATGATGCCCTCTTTTTTATATATTGAATTTTATGTCCGTGCATGCAAACAATGAAACAGGTATTTTTTTAAACAAATGTTTCATTAAAAAGAAGAAAAAAAAAGCCTCATAATTACATGCAAAGTAAAACGTTCGTTGCAATCTACCGGTTGTTTTTGCGAAGAAAAAAATAACAACAACAACAACAACAACAAAACGTGCCTTTCGGCTGTAAATAAGCTACGCATCGAAAGAAGCTGAAAGTTCTTGAGAACGTGACCCGTAGGGGTTTTTTTTCTGTTTTTTTTTATGGTAATAAATTTTACCAACATTGTCGCTCCTTGTTTTAATGATATTAGGCGTGTGCAGACGTCGGCTTAAAAATAAACATAAACTTTTATTTTTTTCTCAAATTTTTATCTAGGTTCTTAAAGGGGCACTCAAGTGCTTTTTGGAGAAGCTTGTTTTTGGAAGCATATTGTTTGTTGGGCTTCAGTCAATAAAAATGACCAGTTCTAAATGTCAAGGCGCCTTAGTAAACTCACAGCAATAGAAATACACAGGCACTATATCCTCTTGCGGGGTCCATCCCGTGTCTCCACCACCTCCATAGAATTCGACCAATAGAAATAGCGAACTGCGAAAAGATTGCTAAAGGTATTATTATTGCTCTTTTTAGGCACATGCACATTATATTTTGACAACAACGTCAAATCTTTGGCTGTAGGTGACGTAATACAGCTATTATTGTTTGAAAAAGAGCGAACTACGTTTTCTCCTCGCCTTGTTACGCGGGAGTGATGTGCCCACGCACATCACTCCCGGGTGTGCTACAGGCCAGCTGTAGCACACCCGGATCGAGGCACAGCCCCTCGAAATCCGGGTGGCTTGTCACGCAGCTCTGCCGGCCCTGCTGCTTGCGAACGGCGGCCGGGTAGTCACGGCAGCAGACACACTCTGCGACGGTTTCCATCGGCACGCAGCAACTGCATTGGCACCTTAAAACAGAAAACCAGCATCAGCTATACATATGGGAGGTATAATAAACAGCTCATCACCTACCAGTTGGTGTTCCCAAGCCGCTGGGTTGCGTCGTCGGTTTCGTCGTCTTCCTCCGGTGTCGACATTGAGCATCGCGAACTGTCGTCCGAGTCCGTCGCGTTCGAGGCATCGGCGTCGCGCGTACGAGTGGCGTCGTAGGAGATTGAGCTGATATCTGCCGCCGAAGAATTTCCACCTCCAACGGTGTTAGATTTGGCAGGTCCATCGCCGCACGACGCAAGACCCGAAGTAAACAAAATGAGTCCCAACGAGAATCCATCAAATACGCGCACATTCGGAAGATCACTCCGCCGGTTCGAAGGATCAATCCGCCGGGAAGCCGTCACTCGTGATTGGATGGCACACGCCCTTCCCTGCTGCCTTCCCGTCCGACAGCGCCCCTGACGGCGTGCGCCTAGGCGCAGAACAGCGATCTTTGATTGGATTTTTAATAGGGAAATCGGCCGCCCTTGAATGTAATTTTGGGATTTCTAGGATGCTTAGAGCCCGCAGATTGAGTTATGACAATAAATAGACGATCTCAGAATCCACTTGAGTGCCCCTTTAAGCTTTCTCGATCTGTCCTTACCGCGAGCGTCACATTCTCAGAGTCTTGCTTCCTTCGAAACGTAGTTTTTTTTACGTGAGTCGAAAGACAGTTTCACACGGTATAATAGCTTTACTTTTGCACTAGTGCGGCTTTATATCACATGCGTCTAACACACTGATCTCTATATCTATTTAATGAATCGCGTTTGACCAGCTCCGCCTATAAACGCGAATACGGCCGCGGTCGGCCATCTTTTTGGTAGAGTTATATTATCTCTAGCCATCATAGTAATATGGCAAAAAGCGCCATGGTGGCAGGCTGCCATAAAATAGTCGTGGATCTAGTACACTATACCGTGGGTGATATTTCGTGCTTGATTGAAGTTTTTCGACGAAGAAGATTCTTGAAACCCAAAGTGAACGGTAGCCTCGTCTTTGAGGACGCGGCGAAAGCCCTACGAAAGGGCGGCACCGGGGGAAAGCAGCGCAGCTCGCATCGAAAGCAGACTCCTTACCGGCGTCTACTTTCGATGCTTTTTTTGATGTGACTTTCGATGTGTGCTGCGCTGCTTTTCCCCGGTGCTGCGATTTCGTGAAACTTTCACCGGGTCCTCAAAGATCGAGGTGCCGTTAACGCCGGGTTTCAACAATATGTTTCGTCAAACGATTTCAATCAAGAACGAAATAGAACCCATGGTTATTTTTGCCACGACGCTGTGCGCCATGGATGGATGACAGTGGCTGCTCCAGCTGTACATTGGCTAGAGGTAATATAACTCTACCAAAAACATGGCCGCCAGTCGCCGCATTCCCGGAGCAGGCAAACGCGATCTTGCAAATAGACATAGAGATCAGTGGTCTAACAGCAAACCCTGGGCCTTCGAACGTGTGACACGACCAGCCGTACCAACCATTCGCACGCGCGTTTTTTTTTTTTTTTCGCTTTGTATTGTCGCGATTGTGGTGCGCATAAAGGTCACAAAAGAATGATAACAAAAGGTGTATTTATTACAATATTTAAACCCTGAAACTGAAAAAAAGAACACCTGAAAACGAAATAGGAGGGACAGAAGAAAGTGGACAGGCAGCGTTTCTTCAAGTTTAAGTTTATTTCCCTATTTAATGGTTTAAACATGATTAATGCCACACCAGCTCGCCTGCACGTTGACCATGCACGTTTTCGACAAAGGTGCATGTTGAATATTTTTGACAAGTGTTCGTTTATTGTTCTTCCGGTGGGGAAAATATTGTGTTGTGTGTATGTCTACACATCCGAAGTTGGCCAAAATGGGCGTGTCTCCGCTGTAGATGGGCAAATTTGGCCAGTGTAGTACAACCGCTAGCCTGGTGTCTTTAACGTTCACCAAGCAGTGGTGATCCACGACCCCGCGCCGGTACGATGCTCATCCAGATCAAACCGGGCAGGGGTGGGGATTGAACCCAGGATCCTTGAGTTCTGCAGCTCGAGCTTTCGCTGCACGTCCTCCGAGCTGGTGGGTACCTGAGCCGTACATAAACCGCCTTCGAAAGACGGCCCTCTGTTGGCAGCTGCGGAACCCCTGCAGAAAGGCCGACTAAACCCGCAACGTCACGGCACACTTCATGAATTATGTTGGATGGGAAAACAAAATCACACCCATGGGAAAAGGGCTTGAGCGCAGTGACGTTGCACTTTCGACGATGTTTGATTGGCTTGTCGGCTCCTAGCATTGGCCGCGTTCTGACGTTCGCTCTCTAACGCAATGACTTGCACGTTTCACAGTGTCAGTCAAGGAGGATAGAAGCGTAGGAGAGGGTATGACGGCAGGCGTGTAGCCTCCACAAGCCATGCTCCCTTGACGCCTCGCCTCTTTCTCATTTTCCTCCTAACTCTCCTCACTTACCACGCCAACGTGACCACATCACGTGACCGTAGCTAGCCTTCGTCTAGCTATGGGTACTAGAATACACCACAGGCTAGCCTTCGATCTGATAAAACCTACCGGACGGAGCGCGCGCAAGCCTGCAAAGAGTCCTTCTAGTATCAACCATTCATCTCACACGTGACATGTCACGCGCACCAATAGCCAGAGGGATCTACGGTCACGTTGGCCACGACATCGTTTAAACTTTTTATGACTAGGCTTCACCAATATTGCATCGTGCCCTCTCCTAGTACTTGTAACCTCCTTGGTGTCAGTTGTTCCGCCATTGTGCAGTGATTCCGACCTTCTAATAATCAGCACGTGACTTTCGAAAAAGGTCTATAGAGAGAGTTTGGTCAATGGGAGGAGCGGGCAGAGCCAGGGCGTGCACCAGACGCAGATGGAAGGCTTGACATGCTCTCTTGGCCAACATGAAGCCTAAAGTAATCCCCTAACGGTGGTATCAAAAAACACCTTTAATGAGCGCGTAAGAGTTAAATGGAGTAACTCTTCATGATTGAAAATATAGTGCACGTGGTGTTTCGATCGGGATCATGCAAAAAGATGAAACAATCGAATGGGTCGCTCCACGCTGTTTTGCTCCGTCGGACGGCATTTTCACGGCCCTCGGCGCCTTGCGTATGGATCACGTCGATTAGTCTCCTAGGTTTTGATTTTTCATTATCGTGATCAAAAACTTACGTGCACCATTTTTTTCAGCCACCGAGAGTTACTCTGACGCACTTATTAATTTTGTTTCTCACGGACACCGCCAGGCTTCTGGCTGGCGACATTTGAATCTGTGAAGACGCCCTGGAACGCACCCAGACCGCTCTCTGCCAATAGCGCCTCCTCATTTACCTCCTGTACTTCTCAATGAATGACCAAAGTTTCTTTATATACGGCTCTTGCGGTACCTGAGACAGTGTAGCACTGACAAGTTACAACGAACTCACTTTTTACAGCGGAGCTGTTAAGGGTTAGTTTCCCCGGGATTGTGTCCCCCGCAAATAACTGAAGACACAAAACTCTGGACACCTACCGCCATCTATGAGCGACGGCGGCAAGCCAAGTGTCTAGTTGCCGCCGTCGCTCATAGATGGCGGCAGCCTTTGCACTCTGACCTCGGTGACTCTGACTTGCCGACTTGCGGCCGGCCATGACTTTCCATTGTAGAGCTCCGCTGGTCTTGCTTCTTCACCAGAGTGGAAAGGCTGAAAGATTTCCTTCTCGTCTTTCTCACAGTACGAGCTTGGCACGAGCCTGGAGCGGGAATTCATCGATCCACTGGAACGTGAGCTGCACCGGGTTCGGCAAAGCGAGTGTGTCGTCCAGCTCCTGTTCCACGCGAAGCAGTGGCGGATTCTGGCGAGGCAGTTGGACAGTGAACGAGGCTTTAACGACGACGCCACTAATGCTGCACCGCCATCGACGACGTCTACTTGATAGCTATGCATGACTATACCGACTATACTGTCTATACTCCGTGTTAGCCTAACCTTGCAAAGGGAGAAGGGGGCTGAGCCAAAGCGAACGAGGGATGCTGCAAATACTTCAGTATCAGCAACTCCACCGCCCTATAGATGGCGGAAGAGACGGGATAAATTATCTTGGATTTCCTATGCGCCTGCTCGCTGATGCTGAACAGCGTGCTAAATTTATATCTTTGGCTACAATGCGAAGCGGTAAGGGAAGTATAACATCACAGGTAACAGGGATGTTGACGTTGGTTAAGAAAGTAATTATGTTGATTCTTAAACTTTGCGAAACGGAACACGACAACTCCTATTTAACGCACCCGCTTTTTCCGTTAAAACTTGGAGGACGCTTGAGGTTCGCCATTAAAAGGTGAAACGGGATAGCGAAGCATATAAACATATAAACTCCGGATCGCCCCAAAGTCGTGCAAGCGTTCCTTGAGTGGCCTCGAGTAGGAGTGTCGGGTTGGAACTTGGAAAGCATCTCTGAGACGCCGAGAAAGTCAGACTTTCGAAAAAAAAAAAAATGATCTCCAAAGGAGCGCTTTCAACGGCCTTCCACGGTCGCGGATCATCGTCCTTTGCCTCTAAGGGTGAATACGAAGCTGTCCTGCTACCGCTGATCATGCTGCGCTATACTCTGTGTTAGAGCACAGCTCTTAGGCGCCCGTTTCCGGGTTGAGCGGTGTCGGCGTCGCCGTCGGCGTCAACGTAACCGCGCGCGTTGCATTATGGGACGTTTTCCCGCTAAAGCTAGAAGGGTATTTTCCCAATAAATTTAGCGGAAACTTTTCCCGCTAAAGCTAGCCGGGACATTTTCCCGCTAAATTAAGCGGAAACATTTCCCACTAAATTTAGGGGGGAAATTTTGCCGCTAAATTGAGCGGAAAAAATTTTCCGCTACATTTGGCGAAACAGATTGTTGCTACGTTTGGCGGGGAAATTTTCCCGCTAAACTTAGCGGGGAAATTGACGTCACGTGGCCTCAACACCAATTCAGTTTCCCCGCTAAATTTAGTGGAGAAAATGACGTCACGACTTCGTCTAACGTAGCCCATAAACAGATTCAGCGGCAGGAGAGAAGGAGGAGGAGGGAAAGAGGAGGAGGGGAGGGTTTGGGGGGAGGAGGGGCATACCATCCCCTCCATAACCTCCCCTACTCCTCCTCAAGAGCTGCGCTCTAGCATCGCATTACAGAGATTTGTAAACGTCTTTAATTTTTTACACTCTGATCTCCGGGAACGACCATACCGGATCGAGGACTTCAGAGAGGAGCTTGGAAGGTGCGATGTTTTAAAGGAAATCGCCGCCTTTGGATCCTATACTAGATGAATCACGTATGGATGCTAGCCCTTAGATCTACAGAAAACATTGTTCCATGCTACACGTACAACGGAAACCGAGGTGACGGAAGTACCAAGAGTGCGGAGAACCGCCCCAGGCTCTGGGAACAACGTGAGTCGACTAGAAGGGAACCAAACGGTTCTTTGTGGGAAAGACCATCAGGAAGCAGCAAAACAGATCGCAGTCGGTATTGAAAGGAAAATGGGCACTGACAGTCAAGACATTAGGTAAACTCCTGAACAGGCATTAGCAGCTACCAGAGGGAGACTTTATTCTCCCAGTTTTTATTTAAAAAAGTGACAAAGATTGTGGTCTTTGGTACTTCTCAACTCCTTCACCATCTTCCGAGGCACGTGCGCTCTAACGTGAAAGCGGGACGCGCGGGGTTCCGATGAAGTTCTCTCTCTCTGACGCCATCAGTCAGCAGCGAGAACTCACCCGCTCGCAACCACCTTACCAGGTGCTTGCAACATCCGGCTCTGCGTCTGTCCGGCTTCTGGCAACTAATCGCGGAAGCAGATAGAGTTCACGTTCAAAGTTCAGGTTGAAACTAAATGTTTTAACTTGAACTTTGGTAACCTCGGATAGATGGCGTTGTTGAAACTCCGTGTAATAAAAATTTTGTCGATCATACCAGTTTTTTGAGCATTTATATTTATGTTGAAACGACAGAATAAATAGTAAAATTACCTTTTATTGAGCAGGTAATTGCACAAAACTTGCCTTTTTTTTTACAAGCCCCTTTTTGCATTAGGCCGCGTGGTTCTCACGGCCTCCGCTCGCGGCTACCGATCGGGAGATTTTCTAATTTTCATCTCGCGATTACGCGGCGGGAACGCAACAATTCGAAGGACGAAGAAGCCTTTTCTGTCCTTTATGACAAAACAAACAATCTAAAAAATACAAGATGCAAATTAATTTGACGTGAAAATCGTTGCACTGCTCCTTTAACATCCACCACGCAGTAGTGCTACACGACCGCACGCCGGTACGATGCTCATCCAGATCGAAACGGGTAGGGATGAGGATTGTACCCTGAATTCATGGGTTCTGGAGCGCGAGATTTTTTGCCACGTGCTTCGAGCTGGTGTGTGCTAGCCTATGCTTTACCTTGTTTCTGTGGATAGCTACTTGAGATGTTTGGCAGAACGCCAAAGATGAAAGAAGAGAAGAAAGTGAAATCGAAATCAATCTTAACATAACGCTTCCCAATCTTCGGCAGTCGAACACATTTCACTATCACCCTTTATCGAACCATGTTACCCCCTGCCAGCGGGGCGGCAGTCCCATGGTTAACGCTGTTTTTCCTCAGCCAAGGTCACGCCATACCTGAAGCATCCAAGGTTGTGTCCACTTCAACCGTCGTCAAGGTCCGACTCTTCTATGAATCGTACTGCCCCTTCAGTCAGCGCTTTATCACTGACCAGCTGTGGCCTACGTACGAAAAGCTTGGGGAGCTCGTGGAAATCCGCCTGATACCGTTCGGGCTCGCCACCATAAAAAAATTCACCAGAAAGGACGCCAAAAAGGTGATAGAAATAAAGTGCCATCACGGTAGCAAAGAATGTGTGGCCAACATGATACAAACGTGTGCCATAGCAATGACGAGTCCGCGCTACAAAAGCCTCGAGTACGTCAACTGCATGTCCGCGTTTCAAAATCGCCACTGGACGTGGCACAAGCGTGCGCCGGAGCCATTGGTCTCAATTGGAAAATCATCGATCGCTGCGTCAAGTCAAAGCTGGGTTCGCTGCTTTTCTACAAGATGGGACAGAAGACGTGGGCTTTAGTCCCCCATATAACCTACGTTCCTTACATAGAGGTCGACGGTTGGCACAGCAAACTGTTTCAGGAAGAAGCCATGTCAAATCTCTTCGGATTGGTCTGCTCTAGGCTGGGTTCTGCAAAACCCGACATTTGCAACGTCTCCTAATAAGTGTGATTAATCATTATTCTTTGGTGAGCCACGGCGATATAATTTACGCAATTTATTGCGAACTTTTCTGAGCTTCCCTTGTACTTTTAACTTGTTACCGACTATATAAAGCCTATGTTTTTAATCTGGAGTGTTTTTGTAACTGCTGTTCTTGTTCTTTCTGCGATTGAATAGTAGGGATATGAACTGTATATTGGGTGTTCCCGAATCAACAGTGTGAGAAAACTCCGTTACTACATGTCAAATGTCTGGGTCGTCTTACACAGCGCTCGCTTTCTATACTTGTATAACTACCTCTTAACTACCGAGTATATAAGGTCGGTTATTATTATATTCAGGGTGTTCCAGGGAACGCATGAAAATCATTTCCTGCAAAAAGCACTAAAAAAAGTAGAGGTTGAAGAGCGTTCGAAGTTGTAAAGAGTTTATACGATTTTCATTAATAACGTTTTGTTCTTATAAAGATAAAGGTACTGCGAAACTTGCAGGGTATTATCTAAAACCGCCAAAAACGGTTCCATTGAAAAAAAAAGAAAAAAAACAAAACAAGGCGTACAAAACGTTTTAATGTTTTTTTTTTTTTTTTGAACAAACACAGAAACAATCAGTTTCGCATCTCGGGGGTTTGATTTAACTATTTGCGGCATATTGGGGCCAATAACTATATGAAGGGGGGGGGGGTATCTACTGATGGCCGTAGCTGAGTCTGTGGCTGCTGAGCACATGACGAGAGCGAGCTTCCACTGTGATTATCCAACGTGCATTCCCCACCATTAAAATTACTTCCGGCCATGCCCAGTGAACAACACACTCAAACATGGAGTTCACGCAGAAACCGTACACTAATGGTTGCTCATCTTTCTGCTAGCAATACTTGCAGCCCAGAACGCGTGTTGCGTGGTACAAAGTTTCACCTTACTGGTCGATGCACATGAAAACAAGTACAATCAGGGATATATAATGAAATTTTAGTTTTTATATTGTTGCCCTCTTTTTGTAGTTTTTGTTCATGTGTCGTAGAATTGGGAGGTCCATTGAACCACTCCTACCAGTTGCGGTTATTTTATGTCTATGATACATACCTACCCAGGAACTCACTTAAAATTCCGAGGCTAGTAGAAGGAAGGATGGACCTTGTTAAAAACCACAGAAACGAACTGACGGTTCGCCACATCACACGCCAAACAACCTGCCAGTCTACGGGTTCTCCCCAGAACCGCTCGTGCAGCCGACCCCTCTCTCGTCTAGGATATCTCGCAACAGAGTTTGAAGAGCTTATAGAAGCCCCTGATATGATCTACCCAGCTCCACCATTATGCACCCGATCACTGAATATCGATGAGTTCATTCCCATGCTCAGAAACAAACAGCTTACGGCATAAGTTATCGCCCGAGGCCTCGCTGAAGAGCTAATGGAGTAATTTTTCCTAGGACGGGTACATGTCTACACCGATGGCTCGGTGCTTTACAGCTGTGAATCATCGACTGCAGCAATCTCCACCCGAGAACTTAATGTGACCAGATAAAGAAAACTGTTTTCATACCTCCTCCACAACCGCTGAACTAGCCGCTCTTTGGCTTGACCTTGAATCATTTGACGACATCTCCGACTGCGAAAAGGCAGTCTTTCTAACGGACTCCAGGGCAGCTCTGGTACTACTCAGCAACCTAGACGATGCCCCCCCCCCCCCCCCCCCCTATGCACAGTACGCAGCCCACACAGCAAGAAACTTGGAAACGAAAGGCTGGCAATTAGCATTTCAATGGCTCCCCTCACACGTTGCCATCACAGGCAACGAGACAGCCGATTGTCTCGCAGCAGAAGCGCACATACCTGTTCACAGATGCAGCGCACATTAAGGCCTGTTCACAGATGCAGCGGAGCGCTACAAGCATAGCGCTAACCTCGCGCTAAGCGTGTGCTGTTGGAAACGTTTACCAGCTTTGTATTTAACTGCCAAAACTGTTGCTCATGGCAGATGACAGGTAGGTGACGACACGTGAGCAGCGCTACATCAGCGCCTCGCTGCATGTGAGAATCGGCCTTAATGTGCCCACACTCTATGTATTAAGCATCCACGAGGCCAGACAACTTATACACAAAGAAATAAAGCGACAACATCCTGATCCGTGAATCTCTGGCGGAAGACCACCCGCATGTGTGTCCCCAAAGCTTTCACGAGTCAGCACCTCCATTCTGAATAGACTTCGCACTGGGTGTGCCTTCACTGCAAAGGCAATTCATCGTCTGGACCCGACAGTCAGCCCGAACTGCTCAAGCTGTAACGTTTCCGAGGAATTAGAACACTTCATCTGGGTCTGTCCAAATCTAGCGGACGCAAAGAAATCTCTCCCAAATGGGCTGCAGCTCGCAGAAGTTGCCGACGCGACAACTGAAGACATTCTTTTCTCCCCAGGCTCAGTAAGCGCCTGGGGAGAAAAGCCACTAAAACATTTGCCTTACTCACAGCATTCTTAAGGCCCTGTCACACTGAGGCAACACGACGGCGACAGCAACACAACACGTTGTCCAAAAGTCCGGCAACTTGTTGCTCGCTCCCCGTGTTGTCCGACAAACCTGTCACATCGCGTCAACAGGAGGACAACTTGGACGACAACTAAAATGTTGCCTCGTTATGACAGCTTTCGGCAGCAAAAACAGCAGCAACAACTGTTGTACAACGTGTGTTGCTCTGATCGCTGGCTGAGCGAATTTCGGGCCGGTAACACAACAGAGATAGCTTCGATGGCAAAGCTAGTTCCCTATCAATAACGTCTTACTCGAATAAAGATTTTGAATAAGTCATTTAACAATAATTAAGGCTGGCGTGCCGATCAAATAATTTGATGAGTGTTTTTACTGCGTAATTGCGGAAAGCCATTGTCGAGATGGTCACAGCTAAGGTCGTGAACGTTCAGACTGGTGTTGAAATTAGAACTGCCGAGAGACCAGCTAACATTTCTGCTTGTGAAATAAAACGGCATGCCCGCTCACTTGATAAAGTAGAATAAAATAACCAGGAAAACGACGACTAAAAAATCGAAGCATTAAAACGACCACTCTTATCATGATTGTTGACGCTTGGAACTTGGGAACAACCGTTACCAGACACCTGATTTGTTTCAAAAATACCCAGGACGTTTTGGGGAATGAAGCGATCCCATAGCAGGGCGGTAGGCAAAAAGGCAGCGTTGAAAAATATTTATTCCACCGTTTGTTCTAAAGGCCGATCGTGTCGGTGTCACAGTTTCTAAGCACTGTCAGTTCAGCTCAACACCACGCTACAAAAGACGCTTTGGGGTGCTGCCGGTGCTAGCTCAATTTTACAGTAGAAATAGGTATTGCATGAAGGGAAGAACCGGACAGGAACACTTCATACAGTTTTTCTCGGTTACGGCTATCTGCTTTGTCAGCGAATGAAGAACAGTTTGATAAAAAAAAGGCGAAAAATACCATCCGTGTCAAATTTTCTAATCACAGTCACTGGTTGCTGTCGTCTCGTTGTAGTTTCCGGCTCTTCGAACGCACTAACACTTTGCGGAGTCACACTTCCAGCGACGCCGCGCCGCACACAAACGGAGGTAAATAATCAAGATGGCGGAATGTTCCCCGCGTTGCCCCCGCCGTGAGCGTGGTGTGACAGGGTTGTCGGACAACTAATCGGAGAACACGGTGGCCGGGCGGCAGCAACATGTCCGACTGTTGTTGTTGCCGCAATGTAACGGAGTCACCGGCAACACGATTTCCTCGTGTTGCCGGATAGGGTTGTCCACTGTTGCCTCAATGTGACAGGGCCTTTATAAGACGCTGATCTAATAAACCGCCTCTAAGGCATGGTGCCATACACCCCGAGCCAGTAAACTCAATTCTCTTAGGTAGTCCAAACTACCTCCACACCCTATAGGGGGTGGAGGTAGAATTGGGTAATACTTTCCTTTTCTTCTAGACTACGTGGAATTCTGACGCCCAAACTCCCTCAAACCTTCGTTACAACGCGCGTTGTTTGTTGTTGAATTAACAAATCACCTTCAAATAAGGGTCGTGGCATCCTCTAGGGTAAAAAATGAAAGCCGTTTACAACTCCCTGTAACGCCGAATTGAAGCGCAGCTCTTGAGGAGGAGGAGGGAAGGGTACTGAAGGGAGGGTATACCCCTCCTCCCTCGCGATCCTGCCTGCTACTCCTCCTCTCCTTATCCTCATCCTCCACCCCTCTTTCTCCCTCACCTCCTCCTCATCCTTCAACCTCCTCCCCTCGCTTCCATCCTCCTCCACCTCCCTCCTACAGCTGGGGGTCACGTGACCTGTCACGTGACGTGGGTTGGGTCACCTGAGCTGGGGGGTCACGTGACGGGGTGGGGTCACGTGACCTGGGTGGTCACGTGACCGGGGGGGGGGGGGGGTAACGTGACCTTACGGTTACGCCAACGGCGACACCGACGCCGCTGAAGCCGGAAACGGGCGCCTAAGAGCTGCGGCTTAAAAAAAAAAATAATAAAAAAAAACACAGACACACACACTCTAGGAACCATTGCGAGCAACACCTCTCATCAAAGAGCACGCCACCCGAGAACGGCTCCCTTCTTATATATATATATATATATATATATTTTTTTTTATCCACTTTGTTATTTTATTTCTGAAATAACATTTTTGAAGACTGTTCTCTTCTTTGTAGCGATGTCGACCGTGGCAACCATTCTGGTCATACGATTGGCGTTTTCTTTGTCACGCGATGGTGTGGTCCGACCAATTAACCAATGAGTTTGTTAGAATGGCGTCACGAGGTAAAAATGGCGGATCAAATAAAAATATTAAATGCAAAGAAGCGCGCAGTTCTGCTCGTTTAGCCCCCTCGGCGCTTTATTCTTCCAGAGGCGAGCATCGCAGTGCCATGGCGTTTAACTTGTGCCGTCTTCATGACGCCATAAAAGACCCTCTTGAAGCAATTAATTTGCTTTAGGGCATGGGCCTGCTCCTGGGGTTCTCGTGCGTGCC